TCTCTTATTTCTTGATCGATATTGAGTGATCACCAGTTAGATGTTAGCAATTCATGAATCAACCTCTGAATAATGTTCATTGTTTTCAATACATATTGACAGTTATGCCGATGTCTCCGATTGTACATTTTTATAACTTGTACAGCGAAAGGTTGTACCTAATAGATTATACAATTAATTGGCATAATGATGTGTAACATTGATTTAAGCCTTTATTATTCTTATCAAAAGTAGTACACCTCTCATCACATTATCATCAACTTGTACTTTTCACTTATTATGTAATCGTTTTCATTGTTAACATTGATTCATAAACTACCTTGACACTGTATACACTTTTTATCATTTTGTAAATCAAATGATTGATTTAATTAGTACATTGTCATTGATAACCAGTATCCGAATTGTTTCTGATGAATAAATCGATTTGGCACAAGTCAGTGTAATTAATTGTAGAACATTCCATTAGTAACATTATTTAATGCATACTATTTGATTCATTTATGGCAGATGATTTTGAGTCTATTAAAAATAGTTACTAAGTGATATTATACTAATAATCTACTGAATTGATATGAAATATAACACATCAATAATACATGTTATTTCACGTGAATCTGTCAGAGCAACTGAAAATTTAATGAGCTAATTGGATCTACCATCAATAAATGAAGTCAGAAAATTTACAAAACTATTGTATTTTGATCAATTTATGTTATTGGTAAATTATGTTGTGAATACTTGTAGTCCATATGAAGTCATGATGTAAAACACAGACTCCATTGATATTGACTCCAAAACAAAGGGAATAGTGAATTCAACTTACTTGACAGTATTTTAGTGACGTAGAATTAGCGTTATCTTGATAAGAATAGTTTTGATTACTGTTAAAATGAAGCTTTTAGAGGCCCATTGATCTGACTCCATGTAGATCGTAATGATGATTGTTGTTGAAATATATATGTCACCTATCCTCGTTTGTTACAAAACCGTACCAAGGCATGATAAAAATACCAATACATATGATTAGTGATGCCGACGTATGAGACTGACTTGGATGTGACGAACAAGAGTGTATCTTTGAGAGACTAGCTCTAAACTCTATGTTCTGATATACAGTGCGATTGGTATAGAATAGTAGGTGCACTACTCGAATAATGTTTTTTCGGTAATTAATGATGTGGCATGTGAATATACATTTGCTCGAAGAAATAAGATGAACGTAATGGTTTCTAATCAGCTAGTTAGAGGCATCCACAGACATAATGGTAGGCGATTTCGAAATGAAAAAGGTATGTTATGATAACATTAAATATGAGCTCGACTAAGTGAATGAATGTAATATTAGATCAAAATGACATGGAAAAATTGGAACGAACTCACTTAAAGTAGGAAAATTTCACGTTTTTTGAATAGTAAAAATATCCCAATGAGTTCTCACAAAGTGGAGTGAAATTTTCATAAAATGATAATTTGTTCGGTGAGTGATATGATTACGAAAATGTCATAATTTAATGATAGCACGAACAAGATTAATAATTCCACATTCGGTCATGATATTGATAATAATGTAATAATAAGCATATAATGATAATTTGAATCGTAATTGAACAAACCGACGAATGGATCAATGAGAATGGTCGACATGAGTACAAAGTATCGATAAGATAATACGACTTGGGCATGTCCATACCATAATGCACAGGCTTCGTTGATTGCGTCGGATTGGATATTGCGCTGGCTTCGCTAAATTTGTTCGTCGAACGTATAGAGTGCAGACGTTCCTTCATCCACGTAGCTTGCTGCATTGCGTTCGTCGTCGGCGGGCGTACCAATTTTAGCTGCCCGTAGATCTGACTCCATATCAGAAGGCTGCGTCTTCGGATCACGTCGGGCTCACCATTTTTGTGGCCCGTGGATCTGACTCAAAGGCCATTCTCGGTAATTGACTTATCTAAATTCCGTTATTGACTAACGTGATTTAAGTCGACGATGATATACGAGAAAAGGCGATAACAATCATTCGTACGCTCTAAATGGAGTCAGATCAACGGGCATCTAAAGGCTGAATACGAAAAGAATAGATAAATGTAAAACTATAGTGACCACTTTTTGTATTATGTTTTGTATATTAGACGCTAAGATTATAGTAGCCTTATATTCTTCTGTAGTGAACAAGAACACCAATGGGGAACAATCGTATGTATTTAACACAAAATTACAGGACTTGTTAATAAAATATAACAATCATCAAGTAAATGCTTAATTTGCAAAATGTTCATCAATTGTCTCAAAATGACTCAGATTTCATTGTTCTTGCATTTTCATACAAAGTGCCATTCTGTTTCCATTCTTTATTGTTCGATCCTCTTGGATCTCTGCTGCCAGACCTCCTGTTTCCGACTAACATCATATACTACTTATGTAAATATAAGTAGCACACACCACACTTCGAATTGTAAGCCTACAAAAACTATTGTTATACTTTTTACCTTCACTTAGTTATTAATATTTAGTTAGTTATATAACAGTTACTCAGTTCTCTTTGACTTATGGTACAGTTCTGGTTACAATGTGCATTTTTAATTATGGTTGTGTGTGGTCAGGAAATTACTGTTCATTATTGTACCAGTTCAGTCATTAGAGACAAGTATATCATACAGATCTTAACCGCTTGCTAATTTGTTTTTGTGATTTAATACTTAATTGAAAGTAGTCCGATGATCGATAGGTGGTGAAATCCCGGTCATTGTTTATTGGTCAATGAGTCATCAGTAGAATAGAAGTTCATCAGTTCTACAGTGAAAGGGTGAATTAATCAATCAATAATCGGAATAGATAATTAAGACTTTCTATCACCTTACTCATGTGGATTACAATACAATTGAAGAACCTGTTCCTTCTGAAAGATCTTACATTGCATTTCAGATTGTTATATATATTCAGACTAACAATGACTTATGTTAGTTTTAAGAAGAATGATTAATTATTAAAACTTCTACGAAAATGTAGTTGAAAAATAATCTGAATAGCTTTTCTAGTTGAGTATATAAAACCGGTGACTCACCGTTAGTACATTTGACGGTATGAGAACTACACATTTTGAATGTCCCAGTTACTTACGAAATCCTCATTTCTTCTCATATGAAAATAAAACACTAGTTCAACAAGGACTATTGTTCAAAGATTTTGATTAGATAGGCTTTTTCAGTCCTTCTCTCTAGGTATTCAGAAAACGGTGTTTAAAACATTGATGAACCTATTATTATGTTTATCTGTGCGATATGTTGTTTACATAACTCGGTAAACACTGACAAATGATCGTGTTCTACACCCTATGAAACAAAAAAATGTTCTTATAGTAACATGTTTTTAATAATGTAAATGCAAGAAATGTTATTTTTATAAGTTTCTCTGTTATTACACTCATAGGTGTTTTATTCCAACAAACTGACAGATAAATTATCCAGATATTTCCGGTCATTCTTTCACTTATACGTGTGTATATAATGGTATTTATCTTTGTACATATACCCCTTTTTCGTTTGTACATGATAAATCACCCATCATTCACTGAGTTGGGTTTTCGCGTTGATATTAAAGGGATTTAACTACAATATATAGTTGAAGTCGAATAGGACAGATATCTCATTAACGTTACCTTTTGTTTATTATAGAGTTAAACATTGACAAAGGATATTGGTACGGACAGATCGTGAAGTGAAGAAAGTTTCATCAACTGAATTCTGAGTAGAACAATTGTGTTATGATAAGTATTCCGAATAAAATGGTTCCCTTAAAGTGGATATAAGAATTCAGTGAGATCTACGAAGACATTAAGTTTGATGAAAGGTTATGGTGACCATTGTATTCTCATGTTGACTGACTGCCAAATGCACTCATTTCTTACGATTCACAATTACGTCTCCCCTCAATGAATAAAATGAAAACAAATTCACATTCTAATGAATGATTTGACGTTGAGAACATCACGTAAAATGAAGAAGGAGATAAAGACGTTGATATTTTCCTGACAATAGAGACAGATAAATGACTAGTGTTTTGAAAGTTATAAGAATAATGTGAATGAAACTTTGTGAAATGCACCTTTCATCATTATAGTTTAAGTGTTTCTCTGAAAGATCGTTTGATTTGATTATTCGGAATGGGAATCAGTGAGAAGTAGGATTCTTGATTGAGATGATGAACCGATTGATGTTAGATCACCTTTGGAAACGTGGAAGCACTGGACGGCCGTTTCATCCTATTGTGGGACTCCTCAGCAGTGCGCACCATCAACATTTGATGCCGGCTCAGTGGTCCAGTAAGTTAAGCGTTCGCGTGCGAGACTGAAATCCTTCGGTTAGAGTCCTGCGAGCTTAATCGTGGATGCGCACTGCTGAGGAGTCCCACAATGAGGTGAAACGGCAGTCCAGTGCTTCCAGGTTTCCAAAGATGGTCTAACATCAATCGGTTCATCATCTCAATCAAGAACGTAATAATCACCACAACCCCAATACTAGAAATAGGATTGTTGATCTGTGAAATAATACATCAGTCAGATATTATATTTGATTTCGTCTGCATGTTCTGTCTACATTCATATGTTTTATGTGTTGTTGTATCAGTGGAAATGTTTGTGATTACGGTTTTCCAGTGTATCAAACTTCAATTCAATTCTAAATCTCATGAAATGAAATGATTGGACTTGGAAACATTTCTAACCAAACTGAAAGAATCAAAATCATGTTTATCAAGTTATTGTTCCGTTATCATGAATTTGATCAGGTCAACTGTTCCACTTAGCAACATTTCTTCATAAAGAATATTAAGTCGACATATTATAATTCAATATTAGATCAAATGAATGTTTGAAGTTTATTGATTTAGTCTACTTTGAAAGTGCAATTTTAGAAGTGAAATGATTGCATGTAAACATTTTACGTGATTGGTTAACTGGCATAATTTAATATAATATATAAACAAACTATAATAGTTGAGTATAAATGTAAAACTAAGACAGTTATTTATGTTTTTCTACGTATTTTATTGAAACTATGCAAAAAATTATCCCCCTATTATTGATTTGTTTCTTTCTTCATATTGAAAGAATCTATGCTTCTGGTCGTACTATACATCAGTATTTTCCCAAAGTAATACTTATTTCTCTCGATGGATTTCGTTATGATTACTTTGATATGGCTGAGGAAAGAAGTGTAAACATGTCAGCATTTGAAAAGATTAAAAGTCAAGGAGTTTACATAAGACGTATACAAAATGAATTCCCTACTTTAACATTCCCATCACATTTTTCAATGGTAACAGGCCTGCACCCTGAAAGTCATGGAATAGTAGATAATGTGTTTTATGATCCATCTATTAATGCAACATTTTCATCAAGAAATCAGTCTACAGCATTAGATTCTAGATTCTATGATGTTGGAGCTGAACCGATTTGGATAACGAACCAGTTTCATGGTCATAAAAGTGGAGTGACTTTCTGGATTGGAAGTGAGGCGAAAATCAAAGGTCAGAGACCAACTCATTATCTAGCACCCTACAATGAGAACATTACATTCAATCAGCGAATTGATATTTTGATGGGTTGGTTTGAACATGAAAATATTAACCTCGGTCTTATGTATTATCATCAACCTGATAGAGCAGGACATATTTATGGAGCGGCAAGTGACGAGGTTTTCAAAGCTATTGAGGAGATAAACCATGGACTAGATTATCTTTTGACATCAATTGAAAACCGACCATCACTTAGTTGCTGCCTCAATCTCATTTTATCAAGTGATCATGGAATGACGAACGTCAGTTCAGACAGAGTTATATATCTTCATGACTACATAGACCCGAATGAGTATACATCTGCTCCTAAGAAGTCAGCGGAAATCTGGACACTTTGGCCAAAAAAAGGTAAGTCTTACCATTAACGTTTTTTTCAAAGTCTAGGACATACTGCGCAATCATTATACGACAAATTGAAAGACAAGCACTTCAGATTAAATGTCTATTTGAAGGAGGAACTACCAACACGTTTATTTTATGATTCAAGTGATCGAGTTGGTCCTGTTGTTGTATATGCAGACATTGGATGGACGATTATTGCTGATAGAAGTTCTGGGGTAACATTGAGTAAGTGAACATTTATAAATAGTTTGCAACGGAATCAAGGGATATAATATAAGAGGAATAAGACAAAAAGTAGCGTTGATTAAAAACAGTCAAAAATAGAGTATACTTATAAGTAGAGAAAGTAGTCATACAGTGTAAAGGATGTCTGCCTATAACTACTGATGACCATAATCAATATTTTACAAAGTTTCATTGATTAAAATTGTGATAGTTAGTGAGTATTTTAAGTTTGTTTTGCTACAATCTAGACTAAACGATAGCCAGTTACAAAAATCTAATTCTTGAATAGATCTATCCTGTAAAACTGTGTTGAATTTCACCAAGTTCTAAAAGTATGACAAGATGGTTCGTATAATTCAGAAAGTATGTATTCATTCCATTGATTTTGGCCTTTGTAAAACTATCGATACTACTGAAGAAAAAGTCAGCCAGTCAGTAACAACATCGAATTTGTACGAGTTGCCTTACCACATTAGCACAGAGGTGCAGTTGTCGATTCAAATCCCGTAAGAGTATGAGGAGTAATTAGAAACATTAGGGTTTGAAGATGTTATTCAAGGAGTATAATCCAGTGAAATAAATTTGGAAAGAGAAAAAAAGGGGCATGAAGAAATCAAAAAGATTAGAATTTGGGAGAACACAAAGAGTGGATGCACCTGCGCCATTGTAAACGATTTTGAGCCATGTCATTCAAGGTCTGTAACCAACGGTTGCTATCGTCTCGCAGACCCCAACCAAGTAGTCTACACCTGCCAACATGACTCAGTCCACCTGTCAATAACTTCATGGATTTATGCCATGACTAAAGAAAAATAAAATATTGTAATGTGAAGTCAAAATTGAGACAGATTTTCAGACAGAATTTCATTGAAACGAATTGTTTTAAGCTATGAATAGGGAATTAATACACGGTATTACGTCTTTCTGTATACAATTTACGTTTTCTTTTTTTTTAATATCATGAAGATAAAAGCACAGGTACATTGAAGTCATCACCTTTCTATTATGTTTTCGAAACGTATTTTGATTTGCAATTCAAAACTAGATACTTCATTTTTATACTGAACTTCTCATTACACTGAAATATTAGAATTCCGTTTCCATTTGATCACTTCATAATAAACTATAATTGTGATTTGATTGATCCCAATAAAAACACCAATATATGAACGAAGAACATTCTTTACAGTAATTTCTCACCAGGTTTTATAATCATATATCCAAATTAATAATCAAAAAGTGACTATGTTTAAAGCAAAGTACATTGTTTGAAACTATAGCAGATGTGAATTTATCTGGATAAATAGTAGATTTTGATAGTTGAATTGATGAATCGATCTAAACTAGGCCACCATTGGAAACCTGGAAGCACTGGACAGCCGTTTTGTCCTAGTATGATATTTGTGAGTGGTGCGTATCTATGATCATACACGCGGGACTCGAATTCACGACCCTCAGTTTCACGCGTGAACGTATAATTTGTACATTAAAATTAAAACACGAATTTCAGCGAAGGGATCTCTTTTCAACGAATTTATTATCAAGCTGTACAATCGTATATACATGAAAATTTATTGTTTTTTCGTATAAATTATAGGCCGCCGAGCCGGGCATTCAAGAGTGTTAATTGTTATAACTTGTGGCTTTTTGCCCTACTAATATATAACGTAATGATACCACTAATTAGAGAGCAGTGAATTATCGACCGGACCAATGACGCATCAACCCGTACAGCATTTTACGGTCTTTATCGGTCCTTCTCCCTGCCTAGCCTGCCTGTTAAATCCAGAACATCAATCTCAGCCTCTGAGATATGAATCATGTATTTCGAACATACCACCATCGTAAAATAAAATAGAAAATAACATTTGTACAAGATCTAGCCAAAAGTGGCTGTGAATGTGGGAGACTAATTAATAAACTGGGTATAACTTAAGAATGGTAAATCGTATAATAATAGTGCATGGGTCAAAATAAAGCTTATAATAAGAGAAACACGAATATGCATAGTTTAGCTACTTAACAATCATACAATAAAAATATATGTGCAGTAATACTCCAGAAATAAATTCTCATCGGGACAATATTAATGTCTAACTTCAATCGATCCACGATTTTCCACAACCCTTCATCCATTGTCTGATGTACATAAGTGTATCCAGCCGACACGGATTAGACTCCATCGGTCATGGTTTCTCGTTAGAACTTAAGGAAATCCACCTTGAAGCTGGTCACTCGTCAGCACATGATCATTATCAGAATGATGGTCGACTCATGAATTCAACTATTAAAATTACTACATTCTCGGCAAATCCTCATTCTGACTGAGAATACCATATTATTGAGACTATAAGACATTATGAATATTCAAATTAATATTTATGTTTATCCGAGAACAAAACTATTTGATATTCATCAGTTGAAGCTTGTTACATTTCTGGAATTTGAAGTGGTGTAAGTAAATTGAATATCCGCTGTTGTTTCATAAATTACTATGTAAGAGAAATCACATGTGTAAAGATGGTATAATTTATACAACCGACAAGAAATCAGAAAAGTCCTATAACTTCATTCACTTATTCAGTGCAATTCTGTTCGGTTTATAATCTTAACAACCCACAGATATTAAATAAAGGTGATATGACTTCTTCAGATCTTGGTGTCTATGAATATTATATATTTAAATGTAAGAACATTCGTTCATCATGTTTAATCTAAAGTGTAACAAATTTTCAAGTAAAATAAATGAATTTGAATAGTTTTGAATTACAAATGACAGGTTTTAAATACAGTAATATATTAAATTCACTTGGTGTTGTTTTACTTGTATCTTCCCATTGTTATTTATGACTGCATATGTGCATCCTGTGCGATATAGCCTTAAATCACAAGCTTTGTAAGCAAAGCTGATGAGTCCCAAATAGGACGAAACGCGCGTCCTGGATTCCACTACTGACCACTATACATCTTTGCAGTCTTAAATAACAATGATACAAGTAAAACAACACCAAGTGAATTTAAACTTCATCCCATCGCACAAGCAAGTGGCTATCAGGACTCAGTAGCTGAGTGGATAACGCGATGACGTTTGAAGCGAATAGTACTGAGTTCGAGTCCCATAGTGAACATCAACTCTGAGATACAGGTACATCCAGCTGACGAATCTCAAAACGGGACAAAACGCGCGTACTGGGTTACACTGCTAGCCGCTATCCATCATAGTATTATGTCATTCTAGCCGCAAGTTAGAGCTTTGTTTAACTTCATAATCTCAAAGATATGCAGAAGTATTAAAGTATTTATCTTTTTACAGTGATACCGAAATATATCTTGCTTTATAAACTCTAAAGTTATATTAAACTTCACATTGAAATATTAAACTTGGGCAATAAATCTCATTATTTTCAATTGTCTGTTGATAGAAAATAAAGGTTCTCATGGTTATGATCCAGATTACAAAGAGATGTCTCCATTTCTAATGGCAATGGGACCTCAGATATCTAAAAATCAAACAACAGAATTAGAAGAAACAGTCAGACTGATTGATATTTACTCACTGATTTGTCTTATACTTAAGTTGAAACCTGCTCCTAATAATGGCAGTGTTTGTCGAGTTGCCCCATTGATAATTCATGTAAGTTTTTCTTTCCAGATCATACAGTTATTGTATCATCATATTCATACCATTCTACACAATTCCTTATGATACACTATGATGTTATCGAAGCATAGAACATGAACTCAATTATGAATGATAATAGAAATCTATCATCCGAATAAACAAGTTAAAGTTAATTTTACTAAATAAATCCATCTCTCAAACGATATAATTTACTAATCTATATGCAATCGTTTTTATGATTTAGTTTATAGTAAAATAAATACTAAATGATTTCAATAGTTGAAATCATGAGTCGATTGAAACTAGACCATCATGGAAAACCTGGAAGCACTGGATGGCCATTTCGTTCTAGTATGGGACTCCTCAACAGTGCGCATCCACAACCTCGCCTCGCAGGATTTGAACTAAATGAGTTATCAATAAACTCAAAAGTACTTTCATTAAAAATCTAATGTTGAGTAAATGGTAACAAGAATGAAAATAAAATATAAAAAAAACAGATGTATCAGATAATTGTCTATTCAAAGAATAGTTATTATATAATGAAGTGAATAGTACAAGTTGGAAAGATTTTCGAGAATAAAAAAAGAGGTTGTTTTGAGACCATGATAAGATTAGTAAATAACTAAACATACCATCTATGAACATAAAGATCAAGTTTGTATTGATTAATTATCAAAAACTCCTCAAAATGAATTACAAATTAAGTAAGTGACAATGTATCTTGAATCCACTAAACTCACTAAGTTACTATCAATCAATTTGTTGATTATTCTAATTCTCTATTCAGTATAATAATAGTCTCTGTTTTGAATTATGAATTCATATTATAATGATTATTATGTATTTTGTCGGTCATACCAAATTGATATAAGATGGTTACAAAAAATAGTAGTTTCTATAGCCTTATAGTGTTATAGCTTCATTAGTCGATCACCTTCGTAATCTCTATTATATAAGTCTCATGGTGTGTGAAGTCAGAAAGTATATAAGGAGTAATTACAGTTTATTTGCGGATAGCATTGATAACAAAGCCATAAACACATCAAGTGAATTTGAAGCAGTGAATTGAACGTGTATATGTGTGAGAGAATACAGAGGTAAATTTTATAATCAAATTGCATAAGAGCACAACAAGTCAAAGCAAAGACTAATAATAAGATTTGCGTACATATATATACATGAGGAAGAGAAGGAATCATTGGGTGGTAATATTTAAGCGATCAATATTTTGGCTAGAGTCTGTCATGTGATCAAGAGTACACGTTTAATTAGATATGGTAGTGTTTATAAAATAGTACAGAGAAATATGCGAATTGTTATTATTCAATTAACATTGTCTGTTAATTAAGTTAATAAAAATGGTTTATCAGTGTGGGGGTTGTGGTCTAACATCAATTAATTCATGATCTCAACCAAAATAAACTTAACAATCTCCACAACCCCCATACTGATAACTAACATGCGCTCACTAGTGACTAGCTTCGTGAGGGAATTCTCGGAGTTCTAGTGAGAAGTCGTGACCAGTGGAGCTAATCCGTGTCGGGTAGAGACAGCTATCTACCTCAGTACAATGGAGGGTGGTCGCGCAATTTCGTGGATTGGTTGATGTTAGACACTAACACCATTGGATGCCGGCCCAGTGGTCTAATAGTTAAGTGCTCAGGCGCGAAGCCAGTAGGTCCTGGGTTCGAATCCCGCGGCGTGCGGGATCGTGGATGCGCACTGCTGAGGAGTCCCATACTAGGACGAAATGGCCGTCCAGTGCTTCCAGGTTTCCAATGGTGGTCTAACATCAATTAATTCATGATCTCAACCAAAAAAATGGTTTAACCAACATTAACCGTAATAGTAATTGAGTGCAGGATAGTTGCTATAGCCTATACATTAATAACAATAACATTTATTTTCTATTTGTTATCACATGAAATGACTAGTTATATGTAGGTTTACGTAATTTCAAATCAATTGCGTGTGGTTTGTATAGTTACAAAGCATCACTTGGATTGTTTATTCATCAACGCGATTGTTTTGTTTGTATGTTTGTTTTTTTGTAAATCGTAAATGACAATTCAGTTTCATTGAATTGACTTTCATTCAACTCTCATATCAACATCTTTTCTAATTGTATTCTAGAAAAGTATTGCCAATGTCAACAGATCACCTACTATATTCATTATGAAATTTGTTATTCTAACTATTTTCATGTCATACAATGGATTATATAATTGAAATCATATACATTTCTGTTGAATGAATCGTTGATGTTCTAATAAGGAAACTTGTTTACTTGTTTGTTTTATTAAGATGCAACTAATTACATAATTGTCATGTGTTAGTAAAACAAACAATTGGATTGTTAACTAATACTCAGATTGTATAATTTTTTCTCATTATTGATAAGTGATTGATTTGTTCTGTTTGAAGTGTTTATTTTTCCTGACATTTTAATGTATGCATTCTTATATGAAATGGTGTAAAACATAATCAATATTTTGATGATTGTATTAATCTGTAATGTGGTTGTACATTGTTATTCTGTAAAATGTGATAACATCCCTTTGATACGTTATGATGTACTTACTTACTACTTATAGGCGTAATTAAGTAGTAAGTATATCTTGATGCACCTATTCATCTTTAATCAACCATCATAGTTACAAATATGTCAGTAATAACTTTGACTTTACAATATTAAATAGATTGTAAACCTCTGATGAGAATCTAATGAAATAAAATGAATCCATTCATTATTTTGCACTGATCTTTGTTTTTTTTTCTCTGTTTAAGATGAAAGGGATACAATAGTTGTCAATTAATTCATCTCACTGATTGAAATCATGAGTCAGTTGAAGCTAGACCACCAGCAGTGCGCATCCACGATCCCGAGTTCTCTACTAGGATGAAAAGGCCATCCAGTGCTTCCAGGCTTTCCATGGTGATCTAGCTTCAAATGACTCATGATTTCAATCAGTGAATTTTCTAAAATCTTCACAAAACCCATTCTGATAATTAATTCATCATCAGGCTTTACAGTTTCATATACATATTCACAAAGGTCAAGATAAAACATACATTAGATAATGTCATTTTTAAAAAATGGTGAAATTTCACATCCGCTACGGCATGAATTATTCAAAGTTGTATCATTCCTAAATCAGGGAGGTCATTTATGATGAGGGTTAAAATGATTCATTTTAAAGTTTCAAGTTGTCATTGATATAATAGAAATAAAGTAAATCATGTGAATAAAATGCATAGTAGGATGTTATGACTTTATGTCCGGCTAGTGATTTATCCACCAATCAAAATACAATTTTAGCACTGTGCCAAATCAATGACATCCGACCGGTGTTAGCAACATAGTGTCCTTATTGGTCCTATGTCCTTCTAGTCCGTCAACTTGAGTCCAGAACACCAATACCAGCTTTCAATATGCGAATCAAATCGAATAATTTATTTCAGATATACTGGGTTTATACATCAACCAAAAATACCACAACGCACCATAAAATAGGAAATAACATTTGTACAATATTTGGCCAAATGTAGCTGTGAACCTGGGAGACAGTAGTCAATAAATTGAACATAGTTTACGAACACTAAATCGTACAATAATAAATGATATGTCAAAATGAAGCTTATAATAAGCGGAATATAAATATACATAACCTAATTATTGAATAGTTAGACCATGAGAATGTATAGATAATATTAGTCGATTAATGACTCAGAAGTTACTAGTGATTTAATCTTCGCTCTGATACAACATAGGAGAATTTTGTCTCGTTCATGGTTTGGTTTGAGTGTAGTATGGACCGTTAAAAGACTCGCTGAGTGAGCTAGCTTATTACTGTCGATAAATATATGACACCGTAACCTTTCGTGGTAAAGGTATCGACAACAAAGAGCTGTAAACAGTTTCAATAATATTCAATCAGCTATTACATTCGTAAGGTAAAAGGAAAATGATAACTATGCATTGTTCCTTGATGTTCTGCTTTCTAGAAAGATAAAACTTACTTACTTAAATCAGTCACCATTCGTGAAGCAGCATAGGCCACGCGCAAACATCCTCCACCGATCTTTGTCCTGAGAAATCCTTTCCAGTTTTTTCCAGTTGCTATTCATCATCCAATTCTCGGTGCAGTATGTTTATTGACCCTCCTTGTTTCAGTTACTCTTCAGGACTCCAAGTTAGTAGAACCACAAAAGGTTACACAAAGAGAAATTTATTTAGAGAGAATACATGGGCCGGTCGGTATATCCATTTTGATAGCTTTACAACTCTTCAGTGCAAAATAAATTTGGTTAAATGTCTCAACCACAAAATAAGACTATAATTTTCTGAGGGTAGTGTAGATGATGAAATAGACAAACTGAAGAATACATTACGGAATAACGGTTATCCAGGTAATTTCCTCAAAAGAATATCCATCAGGACTAAAAAATAGACCAAACACAGACACAGTCAGTAGGAAAACTTTATCTAAAACTCGATTTTAATGGGGGGGGATATTAAATGCCGTCAAGTTGAATGCATACTTCTCAACCGAAACAGTCCTTGCACAACGAATGAAGGATATGTTACCATACCGTTGATGGACCGTTCCATGCGTGTATACCAATCCAAATGCTCCTTTGGAGCTGATTACACTCAGAGGGCCTTGTCCTTGCCTGTTTGTGAACACGTACCGGCACTGTTGTGAAAAGGATATACGAAATTTATTAACGGTACCATCATTTCTCGCTTAGTAGATGGTGACTATCATATGAAAACAGATGAAGCTGTGACTGTCTTTCATCGCATTCCAATCAATCTACGGCTCCTCTACATAACTGAAGCCATCTGGATCAGCTCAATAAAATCTAACTAATGTATCTAAAAGGAAAAGACGTATGTTCAACTACTGTGTATAACTTAATCCATGACTAAATAACCAGATACCCAAACTGGTTATTATAAATCCATCATTTCTTCAACACCTTTGTGTTTACATCCTTCTTAATCTACACGGTCGTCTATACCAATTCATATAAGTCTCTCATCATAATTAGGTCCACAGAGCGCCTTTTATTTCATCCTATACTCTCAAAAGTTTATTATCATTATTGTCATCTACATGAACGAGACAAGATTCACCCACTATACATTTTATTCACACGATTTACTTTATTAATGATAACTTGAAACTTTAAAATGAATCATTTTAACCTTCATTATAAATGACCTCCGTGATTTACAAATGATACAACTTTGAATTATTCATAACGTAACAGAGGTCAAGTTTCACTATTTTTAACAAATGACATTATCTAATTCACTAATGTATATGTTTGTTTTGACCTTTGTAAACAAAACAAAACACAATAATTATGGAGTAATAATTGTTGTAGTCTAACTTAGATCAGTTCATGATATTAGTGATATTCAATAATCTCTATCACCGAATATTGATAATTATGACTGAAGAGTTTGATGACAAAATTATTGTAAACAATCATTCACTGAAATATTCTTTGTTTTTCAATATTTTATTAACATTTCTAAACTCATTGTAAAGCATAGAAACACGTTTGAGTTTAACACAATTTGTTTCACAGTCATTTGATTTGTTAAAACCTAACAAGAAATGATAATTTAATTAAAGTAGTTAAGTGGATAACTGAATGGTATTTGAAGAGAAAATAATTAACTCTGGAATGTACATATATTCAGCTGATAAGTCTCATATAGGATGAAACATGTATCCTATATTCAATTGCTAGATACTATCCATACTTGCTTAAAACAGAAAATTGTATTATGACTAATAGAAACTAAGCCTTAATTACATGAAGCATTAGTAACGTATGTAAACGGTTGACAAACGTATATCTACACGTTTATTCAATGTTTTTATCGATGTATATCATGTAAAAGTCATATTGTTTTTCTCTTTATTATTACCAGTAAATGATTTGGTATGATTATGTATTTTTGTCATCAATGTTATGCCATAAAAGACGTATTTTAATACCAAGTTAAAACCCTTGTCTGTTTTGATACAAACTGTATTATTAGCATGTTTTTATTCGAATCCTTCAATTATCGAAGTATATTGTCTCACTAAATATTTGAAACATTTTTGTTATTTCAACAGTTGAGATCATGAGTCAATTGAAGCTAGATCACCATGAAAAACCTGGAAGCACTGGACGGCCGTTTCGTTCTAGTATGGGACTCTTCAGCAGTGCGCATCGGCGACCCCGCACCCCGCGAGATTCAAATCCAGGGCCCATCGGTCTCGCGCCAGGCTCTTAATCAACTAAGCCATTGAGCCCGCCGGAATCCAACGGTGTTAATGTCTAATTTCGACCAATCCACGAAGTCGCGTCTTCAGTGAGTCAATATCTCACAACAGACCTGGCTGAACTCCACTGGTAACGGCTTCTCACTAGAACACCAGGACAATCTCTTGAAGTCAGTCAGTAGTGTGCAGATGATAGATCCTGGGTTCGAATCTCGCGGGGTGCGGGATCGTGGATGCGCAGTGTTGAGGAGTCCCATAGTAGGATGAAACGGCCGTCCAGTGCCTCCAGGTTTTCTATGGTGATCTAGCTTCAATTGACTCATGATTTCAATCAGTGAAATTTTTAAAATCTCCACAAAACCCCTTCTGATATCTGAAGTTTGTCAATTTCATTAATACATGCCTTATTTTAGTCTTTGTAGAATTATTTATATTAAACATCGTTTTGTCAACAAACAATAAGAATGAATTAACAGTCGTTTAAATTTATTTTAGAAATAAACGAACACGTTTTATCCTACACTTTACATGATCATGAATGATGTTTGTATCAATAAACTTCAAATGATCATGTTACAAGACTCATTTCAGTAGTTTAATATTCAGTAGTTATAGTAACCAGTCATCTGGTTAGTTATTGAATAAAAAGATACAAGTGTAGTTTGAATTTATATTAATGGAATTTGGTATTTTTATATAAATGATCTAATTCATTTGTATTTCAATTAGTTAAATAGAGTTGTAATTTGGTAGATTAACTGTAGGCAAGGTTTATGTCAAATATTATGATCAATAGGATCTCAGTTTATTGATTGTTTTCATGTCGTTGTTTTTTTTAATAAATTTTATTATCCCAGTAAATTTTTGTAAAACATGATCTTTTGAGACTAATTATCAAGAAACACTGAGACTATCAATAAACTTCAGTTTAACCGAACAGAAACTATTGAGAAGTTTATTGGATTTCATTTAGCTCGAACATGTAAATAGTGTAGACATGTAAATAATAAATGAAGCGAGTTGTTATAACATGTGACTGCTGATTTATGTGCAGTGACTTATCGATCGAATCAATGACGCGTAAACACATGTGAGCAGTCTAGAGTTCTGATCGGCCTTGCTTCCCGACTAGCCCAGTCAGATAAGTCCAGAACACTAGTTTCAACCTCTGCGATATGAATCGTTATATTTCAAACATACTCCGTTTTTATACCGATCAAGCAGACCACATCGTACCATAAAATAGAAAATAACATTTGTACAAGATTTGGTCAATAGGAAAATGACACGTAAAATAAATATTGACCAATAGGAAAATAATACCATTTCAAGTCCAAGGATAGCATTAGACTTAAGAGGATAATTTTTGGGATATTTTTCTGTCCAGCGTTGCAATACTAACCACAATGCGAATTAATAGACAATTAAAAAGAAACTAAATCAGGATGAATTATAGTGTGTATAAAAAAAG